TATGGAGTAAGTCCATCTCTGTGAGACGAAGGTATACCTTCTGAATGAGACTATGGAGTAAGTCCATCTCTGTGAGACGAAGGTATACCTTCTGAATGAGACTATGGAGTAAGTCCATCTCTGTGAGACGAAGGTATACCTTCTGAATGAGACTATGGAGTAAGTCCATCTTGTGTTGCTCCGGTTTTTGTTGTTGTTTTTTATTATTATTTTTTTTTATTTTTTTTTTGTTACCAATGAATGCATGTCCCACTCAAACAACGTACCTTTGAATGTCCCACTCAGACCAAGCTGGGGGTTAAAGTTTAACGTGGCAAAGTAGGCTTCATCTGGTACATCAATGTGCCTTGTCCAGTTCAGCAGACGCTCAGCCGTGTCACTGTGAAGGATGTAATCTACAAAGAGCCTGGAGAGGTCAAGACATTATCATTTTCCTGGATTTACCAAGCGTGTTTTTTTATGATTATTTAAAAAACCACTTTATTTATCAGATTTGTAATGATTTAAAATAAAGTGATATTTTCACAATAAACACTACAATGTATAATGGTAGAACAATTAATGGTGGGTTTTTTTTTAGTGTTTAGAGCAGTGAATGCAATGTTAAGATAACAGCGATGACCACATGTGATACTAACCTGCAATCATTCACATGTTTTTTATGGATGTTTGATGCTCTTTGTATGTCCTTGGGTAATATAAATCAGCAAATTCATATCTCACATTTGTGGTGTGGACAATAGCGCAGTGGACGTAGAGTGTTTGACATAGAGTAGTGGACGTGGAGTAGTGTACATAGAGTAGTGGACGTGGAGTTGTGGGTAAAGAGTAGTAGACGTGGAGTGGTGGACAAAGGATAGTGGATAATCGATAAAAGGGCATGGAGTCGTGGAAAATAAAGTATTAGACAATGGAGTAGTGTAGTACTGGGCAATGGAGTAGTGGACTTGGAGTAGATGACATAGAATAGTGGACAATGGATTAGTTGACATAGAGAAGTGGATAATGGAGAAAAGGAAATAGAGTCGTGAAAAAAAAGTAGAAGACAATGGAGTAATGGATTATGCAGTCGACATTGGAGTGGTTGACAATGGAATGGTGGAAAATGGATTAGTTGACAATGAAATAGTGGAAAATGGATTAGTTGATAGTTGACAATAGAATAGTGGAAAATGGATTAGTTGATAATTGAGTAGTTGACAATGGAATAGTGGAAAATGGATTAGTTGACAATTGAGTAGTTGACAATGGAATAGTGGACAATAGAGTAGTGGACAATAGAAAAGTCGACAGTGAAACAGTGGACAATATAGGAGAGGAAGTTTGGAGTTGAAATGAACAATCGGGCGCAATAGTGATTTGATATCACGATCTTGGCGTTGCATGTTTTAATATATATATATATTTATGCGTAGTAATCTTCTTGCCTACAGTTTGTCCACCACTGTGTCAACATGCCGTTTTTAGCCAACCCACCTACTGGCCGTTATATGGACAGATCCTTTCACTGGGCGAAGTCCGTCCGGCGGTGGGTCCTTCCAGCGTTCTTTGTTAGCGCTTGGTTATGTGAAAAGCGGAGAGATGTGGAATCAAACGGAGGCAAATTTTAATGTATTAACAATGTCAAAGCATACCAAAAAAAAAAAATTATCAATGTTTGGATTGTAATGTAATTTACATAAACTTTATCCAAAACAGGAGATATATTTTATTCTGAGCTGTTCAATTATCAAACGCGCCTATTCACCCGCATAAGCATGGTCGTGCCAATAAAATCATGCATCTATTAAAACGTTTCCATACTTTTTAATGGTCCCTTCAATATTATTGGCCCCGTCGTAAGACTTGAGTATCTTGACCAGCTCAAAGTTTGTCTTCAGTGGGAACTCCTGGCCCGTCAGGTTGATGAAATATTTCCACTTCCTGTATCGCCAAAGCTCCTTCATACAGATCAGTTCCGGTTCGAGCACGGTGAATGTCCCCCACTGAACATCCACTCTCTTCGCGCTCAGAAACACGTTGCTGAAACACTCGGAAATGGCCTTGATGGCGCCGAAGTAGCTCTCGGATGCCTTCAGGTCCACGTGGATGCAGTAGTAATTCTGCGGCCTGTAGATGGCCCGCAGTAATCTCTCCACCATCTCTGTATCTGTGTAGACCACCAGCGAGAACGCTATAGGGAAATTCTTTTCTTCCTCTGTCAGTGACGACATCAAGTAGCCCCTCGTGTAACGGAAAACATCGCAGTCTTCTGTTAAATCCAGATAATTTTGGTCGTCCAGCGACGTGTTGAATGTTGGCGCCAAAGCTAACGCTTCCTCTGTGTAGTTTTCGTCACCGTCAAATATGCGCGCGCAGCTAATGTCTCTAAACCTAAACCTGCTGGCCACGCTCTGGACGTAGTTTATTTCATTTCTTAAAGACGTGTTCATTTTTAAATAGCTCCAAAATCGTCTGCTGATATCCGAATCTCGGTTTAGGGAAAAGTTTAAAATTGCTACAGATATCATTAAAAATAGTATTATCAATTTGTATCGTTTAGCCGTTCCAAAAATAAAGAGTTTCATGGCTTTTTTGTTTTGCTTAAATACTTATACATCCCATGGAATTTGACACAATTCTAACACTGATAAAGTTAAAGTATGATTTAACTTATCGGAAGCAGTCATTTCCGTTAATAATCTAGATACACACTTTTTATACCACTCAATTATTTGTGTGCTTAAAATGGTGTTACAAATTGTGGATAATTATTTTTTGAAAACAAATGATGTGTTACAATAAAATATTTAACACGATAGATGAGCCCATTTGAAGCTGTCAAATTTGATATATACGTACTAAATTATATAAAGTATCCAGTCGTATTTTAAATAAAGTGGGTCTAATAAATGTCATTTATTTCATCATTCAGTTTAACGAGACCATAAAAACATCAACTAAATCAAGTTCAATCTCTAAATAACTACTTATCCGTTTTGTGACGGGATTTAATGTAACTTTTTTTTTTCTGTTTTTTTTTTCTTAATTTGCATCCATTTCATGAGGTTTTCACATTTTTGATATTTATCCGTATGAAACAGTTTTTTATCTAAAAAAATCGTGTATTTCATTTGCATGTTTTCTTTCGAGAATACACATATTAGTTCTATGAAACTTCTCGTTTATGTGTTATTTTAATTGGAATGTTAAAAATGGTATTTTATTTGATATTTTGAAAATTATTATTTACGCTATAATATAAAAAAAAAAAAATCGGTTTCCATTTATTTTGATATATTAAAAAAAATGTGATGTTTAATGCTTTGCAAAGATCTTGAAGTAGTGCATGTGTAAGGATTTGTTTTTCAACGTGCACGCAGTAAAAATAAATAATGTAGACTAATGTTGAAGAGATATTAGATACAGTCGTAGTATTGGCCGGGGGGGGGGGGGGGTTCGAAAGAATGGTTATAACTAAAAATAAATAATGTAGACTAATGTTGAAGAGATATTAGATACAGTCGTAGTATTGGCCGGGGGGGGGGTGTTCGAAAGAATGGTTATAACTGAAGGTAAATGGTGCTTGATTAATTCAAATAATTATTGTGTAGTTATTGTTATTTTAATTTTAAAACTCTCATAAATACTCCCTTATTTTTAAGCTACATAGAAACATCACTGTTACTATCTTGGTAGCAATAACATATAATTATTTTCATCTTTTTTAATATGTGAGTTTTTCATTTATTCTTATAATACAGCTGGAAATTTGGCGAATATGTCAAAACTCATTGAATTCATAAAATATTTAAATATTTAGAAATGTTTCCGAGGTAGGTTGTATTCTGGGAAGATTCTTAAAAATTGCTTTCGCTCCAGTTAAATGTATGACTAGACATGATTCATTTAAAGCGACTATTTCTTACTGTTGAGAGAGGTCTAAATTCATCATAACTTTTTCATCCCCATAACCTTGTGGCTCGTTTTCTGGTTCTCAAAAACCGCTGACGTCATCAGTCAACTAACTGCTTATGCGCGCGCACATTTGAAGTCAAATAACAAACAGTTTTTTTTTTTTTTTTTTTTTTTTTTAGCTACCCCTTTTAAGCTGTTTTTTTTTCTTTTTTTTTTTTTTTTTTTTTATTCAGCGACCTCTTTTCAGCTGATTTTTTTTCCATTTTATTGGCCTTAATACGATAGGTGTAATATCTAATAGATGTTCCTTTAAATTTTTTTTTTTTTTTAAAGTGTGAGTTTGTGGAAAAAGAGAGGGAGAGACAGAGAGAGAGAGAGTGGGGGGAGATAGACATAAAGATAGAGAGATAGAAAGAGAGACTGAGATAGAGATGAGGACAAAGATGGAGGGGGAGAAAGACTGGGAGGAGGAGAGGAAGAGAGAGAGTGGGAGAGAGAGGTTGTGGGTTGGGGTTGCTCACAGTTACCTGCCCATTGTAATGAGGCGTGGGTTGGGGCTGCTCACAGTTACCTGCCCATTGTAATGAGGCGTGGGTTGGGGCTGCTCACAGTTACCTGCCCATTGTAATGAGACGTGGGTTGGGGTTGCTCACAGTTACCTGCCCATTGTAATGAGACGTGGGTTGGGGTTGCTCACAGTTACCTGCCCATTGTAATGAGGCGTGGGTTGGGGTTGCTCACAGTTACCTGCCCATTGTAATGAGACGTGGGTTGGGGTTGCTCACAGTTACCTGCCCATTGTAATGAGACGTGGGTTGGGGCTGCTCACAGTTACCTGTCCATTGTAATGAGACGTGGGTTGGGGTTGCTCACAGTTACCTGCCCATTGTAATGAGGCGTAGGTTGGGGTTGCTCACAGTTACCTGCCCATTGTAATGAGGCGTAGGTTGGGGTTGCTCACAGTTACCTGCCCATTGTAATGAGGCGTAGGTTGGGGTTGCTCACAGTTACCTGCCCAGTGTAATGATGACGTAGTAACAAGACCTTTTTGAGGAGAAATGTATTTATCCACCACCCCCCCCCGCCCCCCGCCCCCGACACTTCCCTCAAATCTTAACAACCGACAAATCAAGCACTAAAAAGATAAACATGGCAAAATGTGAGGAAATTCTGTAAAGCTTCAAAACGGGGCATTCGATATCCCATTTATCACAATTATATTATACTGGTACTTTAAAACAAACTTTGTTGAACATGTTTTGATAACTATGCATGCATTTACCCGATTAAAAATGTTTGCTTTCTTGTAAAGGTGGTCGTGATTTGAAAGAAAGCTTTTGATCATTGACAGCTGATCCGTCATAGTCGCCATGTCATGCAAAACTTAATTCCCCTTATCACTCGTGCTCCTGGTTCGGTGGGTAAGGCAAGGTAAGGCAAGCTACACCACTCTAACTTCGAGGCTAATTTCACAAACCCAGTGTTATCTCCGAGGTATATCGTTTCGGCCCTCACCCCACCCCTCCAAAGCCACAAACGTTGTGGTGGTGTTTCAAAGAGAGAGGGGGGGGGAAGGGGGGGGGGGCTTAGGGATGGTGTTTCAGGGGTGGGGGCGCTTTGGGGGTGGGTTTCATTCGTTGGGGCGGTGTGTCAAGGAAGGGGGGGGGGGACTTTTGGGTGGTGTCTCTAGAAAGGGTTGCTTTGGTGTGGTGTTTCACGGAAGGTTATATCTCCAGACAATTAACGATACACCATGTAACTCATATTTCTACGAAGTAATTGTTTTATTTCAGCTAAACCTACAATTAAGATGAAGCTTTTACTACTACAGCTTGCATGCCTTGAAGACCATGGAAAGGAAACTTTTAAATAGGGTCCATTCAATATTTTGAAAATAGCTCGGACTTAACGTTGTTAAATCCACTACCTCGTGACCTTCAGCTCATTTGTTTGGCTCATGGTCATACTGTGGACTTGTTTTAACGAGAAGAACTCCATCGTGGAAGTCGGGGGCGCCCCTGATTGTTTTGGCTTACTAACGGTTTGCGCCTCCCGTCTACACACTCCTCTGCACGGCCATTTAGCACGCAGTCAAGGGCAGAATCAGTGACGCGTAGAACGGTTGCTACTTTGAAGATGATTCACTGGTGTGACACAGTGGATGGTTGAAATGGATCATTTTTAAACGGTATGCAAAGAAGCCGTTTCTCGCTCTATTGAACTCAGATGAAAGCACAAAACAACCACACACACACACCCCCCCCCCCCACTTTTTTTTAACC